TTGTTGGTTATTTTTCCAAATGTGTAAAGCTGGAAAGGCTTGACTGAATGAGGACTTTGCTACTTTGATGCTTAACAAATTGTCCACATTTTCTCCTAAAGATATTACAGAAGATGCTATTTGTAGGATTTACTGGATACAAGTTTAATGTCAAAGGGTGGGGTGGAGACAAAGTAATATTTATTGGATGGCTGAGGCACTGTTGGCCTCAAAGGACTGTTTTACAACACTGGAATGAGTTAGCAAATCCACATGCCGTTTGCTGTACAAAATTAATAAATATGTTTCCTTGTCCCTTCGTGACGTAGTTTAACAACTGCGCAACAAAACACTGAAGCATATTTTGTGTTTGTGTTTAGGAGCTGAAAGGCAAGTTCCTGGTCAAGGGGAAACGACTGAACAAACTGGATGCCATGTTCTCCAACAACAACACCACTGTTGAAGAAGACTCGGTGTCTGAGGAGGATGAGGCTGTAGATTGTAAGGAGAACGATCAAAAAGCAAAGGCAAAGGTGAGTCACGTGATTTGTACCTGTTCAAAAGAAAATCTAAAAAGTAAAGAACTGGTTTGACTAGTCTTCCATTTTCTTTCAGAAAGCAAAGATCAAACTCGCCAAAGAACTGTCGGATATTGTTATCTATTGTAAGAGCGTCCATTTCGGTGGGTTTGAACATGCCAGAGACAACCAGAGCTTCTATGAAATGTCGTCTTTGAAGGAGAGCAAAGCCTTCCAACTGGCTGATGCTTCAGGTAAATTAAGAAACTGTCAGTGGTTGTGAGAACAGTAAAAACAAAAACTCTATCAATCTAAAGATTTGCCCACGATACAGAAAAGCTAGTAAGAGGGTAACAACAGAATATGGTATGTACTCAAAAATATAACTTAAACGCTATATTAGAAGATACGTAGCCATTCTGTTCTCACTGTCTGTGATTAAACCAGATCAAACTGTCAGCTGTGATTGCTACAATTAATCAGATCATTAATTGTATGTTTACGTTTATGTTCCCTTACAGCCACTGCCTTCATCCATCACAACATGGACAAACTCACCAGGATCTACCCGGCAGGCTCGAGGACGGACTCCTCCAACTACAACCCTGTTCCTATGTGGAACGTTGGCTGTCAGATCGGTATTCTCCCTATAATTCAGTCTAGAATATGATATAAAATTCTTAGCACACTGAATACTGAGCATTGTTTTACTCTGATCCTTTTATCTGACCTTTTTTTTTTTTTTTTTTTTTTTTTTTAGTGGCGCTGAACTTCCAAACTAACACTAAGGAGATGCATCTTAATCAGGGCCGTTTTCTGCCAAACGGATTTTGCGGATACATCTTGAAGCCCGAATTCCAGAGAAGCCCGTCGTCTCAGTTCAATCCCCAATCTCTCACCGAAGGGCCATGGCTACAGAAGAAGGTCCTCCATGTCCTGGTGAGAGCTAACCTCAAAATGTTGCTCCTTGCTGAAATTGATCATGGTTCTGGCTGGGCGGCAAAGTCTCACTGAGCGGAAAGCTGTTTCACACCTCTGCTCTTCCTGCCAATGTGGTTACCTTCTAGACCTCAACCTTCTGTGCAGGTTAAGTTTTTGGACCAGAGATCCGGACTGTGAAAGCGATGCTTCTTAACCAATCAATGCGATAAAAAGTATACAAATAAAATGCTGAGTTAAGAACAAATTTCATTGATGTGAAGAGCGGGATTTAGGAAGATAGTTTTGGGGTTCTTCCAACAAATGTTTTTTTTTAACATGTTCAAAATACAACTGTAAGTCATGTTGAAGGATCAGGCCAGAGATGGGTCTATGACATCATTTTAAAAAAAATACAGCCATATTAGTTTAGGAAAATACAAATCTGGATAAACTACACTGTTTATTGAACATCTTTTCAAAAACAGGGACTCAGTTTCAGAGGTTTGTAGTTTCGACTTGATGATTTTATTCTAAATATTCTGTCTCTTAACACAACAGGTGATCTCAGCTCAGCAGCTGCCTAAACTGAATAAGGACAAACAGAACTCCATCGTTGACCCTCTGGTGAAAGTGGAAATTCAGGGGGTGGCAGCAGACAACGACAAGAAGACGACGCACCACATCGAAAACAATGGTGAGTGTAACTCGCAGATGTGTACATGCACATCTCAGTGGATTAGAGTTTCATTGAAAATTGACTTTTTCTGTTAATAAAATGCTTCACAAGCACTTTGCTACCACACTTTTATCCCTTGGCCGCAGTTTGTAGCATTGTTCCCCTGCAGCAAGAAGGTCCTAGATTCAAATCCCGGCCCGGGGTCTTCATACATGGAGTTTGCATGTTATCCTTCCACTAATCTTTCCACTAATGTGATTAATACAGCACTCTGTGAACAGCCAGTTTACTTGTCCATGACTTTATGGGTCACACCCTCATTGAGGAGAGTGTCAATGACTAAGTCTTTCTCTTGACTGTTCTGTGGATCATAAAATATACCTAAAATAACAATTATGTATAAATATTTTCACATAACATTTTTTGTATGTGATGAATTGATCATTTCTAAAAATAAGTCCAAAACGAGTGTGCTGCTGACCAAAAGAACTGCTCCTTGCAGGGTTCAACCCCATGTGGAACACAAAATTTGAGTTCCCCATCAGTGTTCCCGAGCTGGCCTTGTTGCGGTTTGTGGTGGAGGACCATGACTCAGCGTCCCAGAATGACTACATCGGGCAGTACTGTCTGCCGCTCACCAGCGTTCGGAACGGTAGGAAACTCCAGCAACATAGAGAAGCGTGACAGAGGTCAGATACTCTTTAGAGGACTCATATTGGCAAGGAAATATTAACACATCAGAGTGTTTCACTTCAAAAATGTCTATGTTTTTGACATTTTCTAAATCATGTGACTTCAGTTGTGCAAAAAAAATCTGCTTTGCTGACAAGGCTGAAGTTGACTTCCTCTTTTCCAGGATATCGCCACGTCCCATTGCTCACCAAGAGGGGCGACATCATTCCCTCTGCAGGGCTGTTTGTGCATATCATGCTAATGGACCAGAAGTAGGATCTTATAGGGTAGGAAGCCTTCATGCAATCAGGGACGAGTTTGAACAGCCAACGACAGAGCAGTGACGAAGTATTGCAACTAGGTCGGATAAAACCTCATACTGGAAACCTTCTGTCTGTTTTTTATTACTTTTGACATAGTTGTTTTGAGCTATTATTCAATTTTACTATTATTACGAGAAAGGGAGAGTCATTAAAGCCGTGAGTGAATGAGAGACGTTATTTAATGACAGTCATTTAACTGTTTTATGCTCCTCTAGAAGAATAATTATTGTAAGTTTTACATAAGGTGCCTTCTTCTAACGTGCCGTGCAATCTTTTAGTGTTATTATATTGTTACTTTCCTAAAAATAATGGCCTGAGTCTTTGTTTGCCAAAAAGGGATTTTGGTATAAAAGGATTTTTACACTTTTGGCTAAGAAGGCCGTTATTTCAGGAAGATGACAATATCAAGAAACAACCATTTGTGCATTTATTGTGTTTTTTTTCTAGACTTTGTGAGTAGAACAAGCCTTAATATATATGATTGCAAGGTTCTGTACTAGGCATGGGCTGGTTACTGGTATCAAGTAACACCAAAGTGTTCACAGGTCACGGAATGAAAACTATGGACAATTTCCTGAGATGCAACACCGTATGGATCTGGTCCAGGTCCTTGACCTGTTGCTTCTCACTGCACTAAGCTGTCTGAACAAATTTTACTACACTTTTCCCACCCTTCCAAAAAAGCAGAAACATGTTGAAAATGTTTTTTTAAAAAAAAAAAAGGACTAGGATGGAGTAGCTACATGGCATGGTTTTAAAACAACGGCTGGCAGGCCATTATGAGCCGTTATGATCCGTTGATGTTGGGACTTTTAGTTTAACTTATGTTTCTGTTTTTAACATCTCTTATTTCTCTATAGCTTACCAAAAACAATTGTTTTTGCTTTGGATTTGTTTCCGCAAATTAGCATTTATTTCTCTTTATTGTCTATCTTGGGGTTCAGGTTTCTTACCTCCTTTTTTTATGTGCCCCTCTCCTCTGCACAGCTGATCCAATGCCTCATCCCTCCCAGGCCTGTGTTTTCCCTCCAGCTGTTCCTCATCTCTTGATTTGTCCTTCTGCATTAATACTCTTTGTTTCCCTGTTAGTTGGATTCTCACATGTTCCGAATCCACCGGTTCTTTCAGTAAGGCTTTTGTATTTCTTTCATTAAACATTGTCGTCATACTGCTGTCTTGCCTGCATTTTAGTCTGACCCTGGATATCAGACAAGCAGTATTTTTTTTTAAGGAAGGCTGATAGCTGTTACCCGTAGGTTCCAAGTGTCACTTTGTGAACAGAATGGTAGAAGGGTGCAATAGTATATGTATTAGGGACTTAAAAACTGCTAACTTTATCTATTTTTGTTGTTTTTATTTGAAATGTTATTGTGGTGCAACACTATACCAGTCCACGCCTTGTCTCTTATTTTACTTTCTTAAATAGGAATAATCTTATCTCTTTAGAGAGTTTATGTGCCTTTGTCCACCTTTTCTCAAGCCAAAGTCTTGTACCATACACTGTCTTATAATTTACATTTTACAGATGCATCATGATGAGATCGTACAGAATTACAGTTAATGAAATCACACTTAATGTCTTGTATTGTAATTTTCTTCTCAATGCTTGTTTTAGTGACAACTTTGTGTCTCCAACGTGTTGGCATTGGCACTAGTTCACGAATAAAAGCAGCTTTACTCTCTTATGGGTGGTTTTCTCTTTATTTGTTACATTTTGATTCATGGCAAGAACAAAGAAAACTTTATTAGGCGATCAGCTTGAATACATTGGAATGCTTTTATAAGAAGAGCACATTTATTAAATAACAATAACTCAATCGGTTTATAAGTAGATTTTTCTTTATGAATCATCTGAGCTTGCTAAGTGGTTGAAAACATTTAAGTGAATAAGTTATTCGAATAAATCGCTGCTGCTCCTGCTTCTGTCAACAATGGCAACAAACCGTCGTTAGCTTGGATTTCTCGGTATCTCGGACGGACCGGTCTAACGCCGCTTCTGTGAAATCCAGAAGATAAATCCTTCCTAGAAGAGTCCTGCCTTTTTCTTCAGTTCGATCTGACGCCATTGGGGCATACCCAGAAACTCAGACCGACTGACACCGAGCAGGTTCTCAAAGTCCTCGTCAGACAGGTAGTCCTGCAGCGAGAAGAGAAGTGAGGACACAGTTAGGCTGCACCCTAGCGGCCACAATGTGTTATTACAATAGTCAAGGTTTATATAGGACANTTCTGTTGTAAACCAAATCCTTACATCTGAGTTCCAGTTGGTTCATCAGCTGCATGCGAAAGGCAGACAAGAACAAAGACAACAAGATGACCCTGAAAGAGCTGAAGCATTTCCTGCGACAGGTCAACATTGAGGTGGATGACACCTATGTGGAGGAAATATTCAAGGTGTGGCGCTCTCAAATTTCTTTTCTCTTTGAGTAAAACCAAATCAGTAAAGTTAGCAGTTTATTGAAGTGCCATTGTGTTTACACAGAAATGTGACACGTCAAATTCGGGTACCCTGGAAGACTTGGAGATCGAGGAATTTTATAGCCTCCTGACAAAACGGGAGGAGATAGATGTGATCTATGCGAAGTACGCTAAAACAGAGGGTGAAATGAGCGCCAGGGACCTGCTGGATTTCCTGCTGAATGAGCAGAGGGAACAAGCGACCATAGAGAGTGCACTCAAGCTGATTGAGAAACATGAATTGGACGAAGCAGGTTGGTGAACTTGGAGCGGGACTGTTGGTTTTCAAAAGTTCGACTCTCACCGGATTTGCCTTGCTTGGAGGGTTATTCAACTTATTGTGCTCGTCCTCACAGCAAAACAGAAGAAGCGCATGACTAAAGATGGCTTTGTAATGTACCTCAACCAAGAGGATGGATGCATCTTCAACCCAGCTCACTCACCGGTGTATCAGGACATGAGTCAGCCTCTCAATCATTACTTTATCTCCTCCTCACACAACACCTACCTGATGGAGGACCAACTCAAAGGACCCAGCAGCACAGAGGCCTATGTAAAGTAAGCGTTTCAGTACTGCTTGTTGTTAGACGAAAATTAGAAAACGTCCTCAGGTTTTAATCTGCTGTCTGGGCTTTTCAGGCCTGACATTTCATGAGTCTGTCCAACAACTATCTACTTTGCTTAATGCACAGTTCAATGAAATCTTTACGTATATATTTTTGTTCTCAGTGAGTTAAACATTTTTGGACAAGTCTCCGTCTGGCTCTCAAAAAAGCCGTTCTACTGAGTCCACTCTTTTCAGAGTGCCCAACGATTTGTTGTTGTACAGGGATGAAGAGGAACCTTGATCCTTGTCTCTGTGGATCATTCTGGAGGATTATATGGTCCTGCAGTCTGATATAAACTTCAGTTTACTTTCTGCCCCAGTATTAAATACTGGGACTGGGTCTTGAGTATCATTTGATCCAAATTACAGAGGTGTTGCTTATATCCAACCTTTACTAATGAAGGAAACTGAGAGCTATTAAATCCACTGCTGACATAAGGATAATTAATCATAATCATACCTTAATAAAACTTGATTATTTGCTGATTATTATGGACTCCCCACATGTCTAGTGGTTGTTTCAGTGAAAAGGAAACTAATCACTCAGAGTAAATGGATGGAAAAGGTAGTTTTACTCACTCCTCTTCTTGCAGAGCATTGATGAAGAGTTGCCGTTGTGTGGAGCTGGACTGTTGGGACGGACCAAACGGAGAGCCTATAATTTATCACGGCTACACTCTAACATCCAAAATCCTTTTCAAAGACGTCATCAGAGCCATCAAAGACTATGCCTTCAAGGTAAATGAAATGCTTATTTTGCCTCTAGGAGAATAAAAAGCTTTGAACGTTGATGGTTGATCTTTTGCTACCCAGACATCTCCGTACCCTGTGATTCTGTCCCTGGAGAACCACTGCACAGTGGAGCAACAACAGCTCATGGCCCATCACTTAATCGACATCCTGGGTTCTGCTTTGGTCACAAAGCCTCTGGGTGACACCATGCCTGCCAGCCTCCCCTCACCAGAGGTATGTAACCTTTAAATTCTAACTCATGTTAGGTTTAATTCGATGTGAATCCTTACTATAAATATTCTTTATAATTAAGAATCAAAAGATGACCACAGCAAGTTAACAAACTGCTCTGCCAGGTTTTTCTCTTCCCAGGTTACGTGAGTGTTAAAGCTAAGGGGAAAGGAGTGAAACTGATCTGATTAAACTACAAAAATCTTACCCAAGTTGGAGTGAAATAGATAATTGTTCATGTGGTTTTTTTAGCCATAAGATCTAAATGGTTTGAAACTCCAGAAGGAACGTTGTTGGTTATTTTTCCAAATGTGTAAAGCTGGAAAGGCTTGACTGAATGAGGACTTTGCTACTTTGATGCTTAACAAATTGTCCACATTTTCTCCTAAAGATATTACAGAAGATGCTATTTGTAGGATTTACTGGATACAAGTTTAATGTCAAAGGGTGGGGTGGAGACAAAGTAATATTTATTGGATGGCTGAGGCACTGTTGGCCTCAAAGGACTGTTTTACAACACTGGAATGAGTTAGCAAATCCACATGCCGTTTGCTGTACAAAATTAATAAATATGTTTCCTTGTCCCTTCGTGACGTAGTTTAACAACTGCGCAACAAAACACTGAAGCATATTTTGTGTTTGTGTTTAGGAGCTGAAAGGCAAGTTCCTGGTCAAGGGGAAACGACTGAACAAACTGGATGCCATGTTCTCCAACAACAACACCACTGTTGAAGAAGACTCGGTGTCTGAGGAGGATGAGGCTGTAGATTGTAAGGAGAACGATCAAAAAGCAAAGGCAAAGGTGAGTCACGTGATTTGTACCTGTTCAAAAGAAAATCTAAAAAGTAAAGAACTGGTTTGACTAGTCTTCCATTTTCTTTCAGAAAGCAAAGATCAAACTCGCCAAAGAACTGTCGGATATTGTTATCTATTGTAAGAGCGTCCATTTCGGTGGGTTTGAACATGCCAGAGACAACCAGAGCTTCTATGAAATGTCGTCTTTGAAGGAGAGCAAAGCCTTCCAACTGGCTGATGCTTCAGGTAAATTAAGAAACTGTCAGTGGTTGTGAGAACAGTAAAAACAAAAACTCTATCAATCTAAAGATTTGCCCACGATACAGAAAAGCTAGTAAGAGGGTAACAACAGAATATGGTATGTACTCAAAAATATAACTTAAACGCTATATTAGAAGATACGTAGCCATTCTGTTCTCACTGTCTGTGATTAAACCAGATCAAACTGTCAGCTGTGATTGCTACAATTAATCAGATCATTAATTGTATGTTTACGTTTATGTTCCCTTACAGCCACTGCCTTCATCCATCACAACATGGACAAACTCACCAGGATCTACCCGGCAGGCTCGAGGACGGACTCCTCCAACTACAACCCTGTTCCTATGTGGAACGTTGGCTGTCAGATCGGTATTCTCCCTATAATTCAGTCTAGAATATGATATAAAATTCTTAGCACACTGAATACTGAGCATTGTTTTACTCTGATCCTTTTATCTGACCTTTTTTTTTTTTTTTTTTTTTAGTGGCGCTGAACTTCCAAACTAACACTAAGGAGATGCATCTTAATCAGGGCCGTTTTCTGCCAAACGGATTTTGCGGATACATCTTGAAGCCCGAATTCCAGAGAAGCCCGTCGTCTCAGTTCAATCCCCAATCTCTCACCGAAGGGCCATGGCTACAGAAGAAGGTCCTCCATGTCCTGGTGAGAGCTAACCTCAAAATGTTGCTCCTTGCTGAAATTGATCATGGTTCTGGCTGGGCGGCAAAGTCTCACTGAGCGGAAAGCTGTTTCACACCTCTGCTCTTCCTGCCAATGTGGTTACCTTCTAGACCTCAACCTTCTGTGCAGGTTAAGTTTTTGGACCAGAGATCCGGACTGTGAAAGCGATGCTTCTTAACCAATCAATGCGATAAAAAGTATACAAATAAAATGCTGAGTTAAGAACAAATTTCATTGATGTGAAGAGCGGGATTTAGGAAGATAGTTTTGGGGTTCTTCCAACAAATGTTTTTTTTTAACATGTTCAAAATACAACTGTAAGTCATGTTGAAGGATCAGGCCAGAGATGGGTCTATGACATCATTTTAAAAAAAATACAGCCATATTAGTTTAGGAAAATACAAATCTGGATAAACTACACTGTTTATTGAACATCTTTTCAAAAACAGGGACTCAGTTTCAGAGGTTTGTAGTTTCGACTTGATGATTTTATTCTAAATATTCTGTCTCTTAACACAACAGGTGATCTCAGCTCAGCAGCTGCCTAAACTGAATAAGGACAAACAGAACTCCATCGTTGACCCTCTGGTGAAAGTGGAAATTCAGGGGGTGGCAGCAGACAACGACAAGAAGACGACGCACCACATCGAAAACAATGGTGAGTGTAACTCGCAGATGTGTACATGCACATCTCAGTGGATTAGAGTTTCATTGAAAATTGACTTTTTCTGTTAATAAAATGCTTCACAAGCACTTTGCTACCACACTTTTATCCCTTGGCCGCAGTTTGTAGCATTGTTCCCCTGCAGCAAGAAGGTCCTAGATTCAAATCCCGGCCCGGGGTCTTCATACATGGAGTTTGCATGTTATCCTTCCACTAATCTTTCCACTAATGTGATTAATACAGCACTCTGTGAACAGCCAGTTTACTTGTCCATGACTTTATGGGTCACACCCTCATTGAGGAGAGTGTCAATGACTAAGTCTTTCTCTTGACTGTTCTGTGGATCATAAAATATACCTAAAATAACAATTATGTATAAATATTTTCACATAACATTTTTTGTATGTGATGAATTGATCATTTCTAAAAATAAGTCCAAAACGAGTGTGCTGCTGACCAAAAGAACTGCTCCTTGCAGGGTTCAACCCCATGTGGAACACAAAATTTGAGTTCCCCATCAGTGTTCCCGAGCTGGCCTTGTTGCGGTTTGTGGTGGAGGACCATGACTCAGCGTCCCAGAATGACTACATCGGGCAGTACTGTCTGCCGCTCACCAGCGTTCGGAACGGTAGGAAACTCCAGCAACATAGAGAAGCGTGACAGAGGTCAGATACTCTTTAGAGGACTCATATTGGCAAGGAAATATTAACACATCAGAGTGTTTCACTTCAAAAATGTCTATGTTTTTGACATTTTCTAAATCATGTGACTTCAGTTGTGCAAAAAAAATCTGCTTTGCTGACAAGGCTGAAGTTGACTTCCTCTTTTCCAGGATATCGCCACGTCCCATTGCTCACCAAGAGGGGCGACATCATTCCCTCTGCAGGGCTGTTTGTGCATATCATGCTAATGGACCAGAAGTAGGATCTTATAGGGTAGGAAGCCTTCATGCAATCAGGGACGAGTTTGAACAGCCAACGACAGAGCAGTGACGAAGTATTGCAACTAGGTCGGATAAAACCTCATACTGGAAACCTTCTGTCTGTTTTTTATTACTTTTGACATAGTTGTTTTGAGCTATTATTCAATTTTACTATTATTACGAGAAAGGGAGAGTCATTAAAGCCGTGAGTGAATGAGAGACGTTATTTAATGACAGTCATTTAACTGTTTTATGCTCCTCTAGAAGAATAATTATTGTAAGTTTTACATAAGGTGCCTTCTTCTAACGTGCCGTGCAATCTTTTAGTGTTATTATATTGTTACTTTCCTAAAAATAATGGCCTGAGTCTTTGTTTGCCAAAAAGGGATTTTGGTATAAAAGGATTTTTACACTTTTGGCTAAGAAGGCCGTTATTTCAGGAAGATGACAATATCAAGAAACAACCATTTGTGCATTTATTGTGTTTTTTTTCTAGACTTTGTGAGTAGAACAAGCCTTAATATATATGATTGCAAGGTTCTGTACTAGGCATGGGCTGGTTACTGGTATCAAGTAACACCAAAGTGTTCACAGGTCACGGAATGAAAACTATGGACAATTTCCTGAGATGCAACACCGTATGGATCTGGTCCAGGTCCTTGACCTGTTGCTTCTCACTGCACTAAGCTGTCTGAACAAATTTTACTACACTTTTCCCACCCTTCCAAAAAAGCAGAAACATGTTGAAAATGTTTTTTTAAAAAAAAAAAAGGACTAGGATGGAGTAGCTACATGGCATGGTTTTAAAACAACGGCTGGCAGGCCATTATGAGCCGTTATGATCCGTTGATGTTGGGACTTTTAGTTTAACTTATGTTTCTGTTTTTAACATCTCTTATTTCTCTATAGCTTACCAAAAACAATTGTTTTTGCTTTGGATTTGTTTCCGCAAATTAGCATTTATTTCTCTTTATTGTCTATCTTGGGGTTCAGGTTTCTTACCTCCTTTTTTTATGTGCCCCTCTCCTCTGCACAGCTGATCCAATGCCTCATCCCTCCCAGGCCTGTGTTTTCCCTCCAGCTGTTCCTCATCTCTTGATTTGTCCTTCTGCATTAATACTCTTTGTTTCCCTGTTAGTTGGATTCTCACATGTTCCGAATCCACCGGTTCTTTCAGTAAGGCTTTTGTATTTCTTTCATTAAACATTGTCGTCATACTGCTGTCTTGCCTGCATTTTAGTCTGACCCTGGATATCAGACAAGCAGTATTTTTTTTTAAGGAAGGCTGATAGCTGTTACCCGTAGGTTCCAAGTGTCACTTTGTGAACAGAATGGTAGAAGGGTGCAATAGTATATGTATTAGGGACTTAAAAACTGCTAACTTTATCTATTTTTGTTGTTTTTATTTGAAATGTTATTGTGGTGCAACACTATACCAGTCCACGCCTTGTCTCTTATTTTACTTTCTTAAATAGGAATAATCTTATCTCTTTAGAGAGTTTATGTGCCTTTGTCCACCTTTTCTCAAGCCAAAGTCTTGTACCATACACTGTCTTATAATTTACATTTTACAGATGCATCATGATGAGATCGTACAGAATTACAGTTAATGAAATCACACTTAATGTCTTGTATTGTAATTTTCTTCTCAATGCTTGTTTTAGTGACAACTTTGTGTCTCCAACGTGTTGGCATTGGCACTAGTTCACGAATAAAAGCAGCTTTACTCTCTTATGGGTGGTTTTCTCTTTATTTGTTACATTTTGATTCATGGCAAGAACAAAGAAAACTTTATTAGGCGATCAGCTTGAATACATTGGAATGCTTTTATAAGAAGAGCACATTTATTAAATAACAATAACTCAATCGGTTTATAAGTAGATTTTTCTTTATGAATCATCTGAGCTTGCTAAGTGGTTGAAAACATTTAAGTGAATAAGTTATTCGAATAAATCGCTGCTGCTCCTGCTTCTGTCAACAATGGCAACAAACCGTCGTTAGCTTGGATTTCTCGGTATCTCGGACGGACCGGTCTAACGCCGCTTCTGTGAAATCCAGAAGATAAATCCTTCCTAGAAGAGTCCTGCCTTTTTCTTCAGTTCGATCTGACGCCATTGGGGCATACCCAGAAACTCAGACCGACTGACACCGAGCAGGTTCTCAAAGTCCTCGTCAGACAGGTAGTCCTGCAGCGAGAAGAGAAGTGAGGACACAGTTAGGCTGCACCCTAGCGGCCACAATGTGTTATTACAATAGTCAAGGTTTATATAGGACATTTTACAACAACCTCAGCTGAATAAAGTATGTCACAATTACATCATAGGTAGATGTGATAAAATTAGAAATAAAATTTGATATACACGGGATGAATTGGGATTAACGATACAGAAAAACAACCAACCATCCTCATGTGGTTAAAAAAAGACGTCTTTTT